TGTGCTGTTTTGCGGTATGCTTTTCGTACTTGAAAGCCTAAGGTGTCTCTCACTCCAGCAGCTATGGTTCCATGAAACCACAGCACACTCTGTAGTACCAAATATCTAAGTCACGAGCACTGGCAGAGCCCCAAAATCCCATCTATTCTGAGTATATCCATTGAGTAGTTGCCCTCCTCGACAATCCCACGCCCCATGCGTTGCGTCACGTGATCTCGAACATTTTCCACCCACATCAGCGCATCTCCCAAATCTTGGACTACAACTTCAACGAAAACCATATCAACCCACTTATTAACTAACGATAGTGATGACCAAGCCATGGAGTAATATACCCGTATATATAGACAACCATCGCCCAACCCCAGGGCCCAGGAAACCCCGCCAGCCCCAATGCCTTTCTCGTGCCAAAGTGCCTCAAACCCGATCTGCATGGATACATACAACTACATGGCCTAGATTGTTGACTCGCATACCATAAACACACACACACACCACCGCATCGACAACTGAAACACCAACCCAGCAACACAGACTAAGTTCTGGGGTGGGTGTTACACCAAGATCACACAACACAACCTCGAAAAAAAAAAGCAAAGAACTGGCCAAAGCCGCTGGTCACAGCAGCAATGTCCTCCTCAAACTACTACCCCAGCTCACCGCGCTTCGCGCCTCCCCCGTCCGCGCAACCGCAACCGCAAGCCTACCAATCCATCTTCGGGGGCGGCGACAGCAGCCAGGACGCGGGTGGGTTTTCGGATCTCGAGCCTTATCCGGATGAATTAGAGGGAAATCTGGACACGATCATGGAGGAAGGGGGTTCGCCTCGAGATGAGGGGCTTTCGGATGATTCGGATTCGAGTTACTTGGAGGAGAGTGGGGGGGAGGGGGAGGAGGAGGAGGAGGAGGCGGGGGACGTTGGACGAAGGAGAGGTGGTGCAAGGTTAGACGGGGAGCAGCGAGGGAAGGTTGGTGTCGACGTGGTTGAAAGCCGTCGTTTTCGTCGTCAGCCTTCCTCCTCGCCAGATGCAGACGAGGAGGACCACTACCGACCCAACCGTTTCCGGGGCCCCGAGTCGACCTGGAGGAATCTCACGGCCGAGGATCGACAGAATGCGCAGGCGTTGGTCGATCTCCGTGCCCGGGACCTGGCGGCGCATTTGTATAATGCTTATGCGTTGCGGGTGAGGGCGAGGGAGATTGCGAGGCGGATGAGTAGTGGTGCTCTAGGGGGGGAGGGAAGGATTGAAGGAGAGGAGGAGGTGTTTGCGCCGCCGAAGAGGTGGACGGCGTGGCCGATGCCTGCGGCGGCTGTGCCGCGGCCCGGAGAGTTGGTGCGGCGGGCGATCGATGATGCCTGGACGCTGCGTCGGCAGCCGGATCCGCGGCCGAGTGCGGAATTGGAGGAGTCCCTGATGGCTGTCATGATGAAGACCGCCAAGGAACGGTTCAATGCACGGGAATGGGAGACGACGAGGCCAGCAACCGGTGCGATGACGCCGCGGCGCAGCAAGAGGAAGTCCTCCATGTCGCAGACCGGAACCCAGGATGAGAGTGCCGGGGATTGGGAGAGTGAGGAGGTCGAGGAACCGGAGACGGTGGCCGGAATGAAACCCGTGGCTCTACGGCCCGTGGTGCAGGCGGACGATGAGAGGGCACGCGTGCAACTACGGCCCATGACTCGAAATATCCTCACGCAATTCGACACGCTGCTCATGGGCCTCCATCGCGCGCGGCTGGGCGACCTCGCTCGCGACGACGATAGCTCCGCCAGCGAATGGCAGACGGATACCGCAAGCGCGGTCTCAGGCTCGTCCTCCGGACACCAGCCGAAAAGGAAAGGCAGCGCCGCAGAGAAGGAGCGGAGTTTATCGCGGGGGAGAAAACGCACACGACGGCCCTCAAGACCTGAGTCCAGCGCCGGGCCTTCTCGCTCACGAAGTACCCGCGTCTCGAGTAGCCGTGTATCCAGCGAGCACACATCCTCCAACGCACCCTCGAGTCAGCGCTCGCTCTCGCAAGGGTCTTCGCGGTCCCGTGGCAGATCACGCAGCAGCGATGGCCGACAGTCCGTCAGCCGGGTCCGTCAGGGCCTCCGGGACTGGAGCGAGGTTTTGGGGATTGCGTCCATGACAGGGTTCCCCGCCGCGGCGGTGATGCGAGCCTCCCGCCGCTGTGCGGATTTGTTCGGCGAGGATATGGCATTTCGCACGTTCCACGAAGGACAGGTGCGACAAGACCCTCTGGAAGCTGGCAGTGGGCCAGGCCCGTGGCAGTACGTGGAGAGCGAGTCGGAACCGGAGGCTGAATTGGAGCATGAGCCTGAGCCTGAGCCCGAGCCCCAACCGGAGGCGATTCCCTTATCATCACGAGCATCATCCAGGAAGCCTCGCTCGCGGGCGACATCCCTCAAGGGGGGTTCGAGATCTCGCGCGACGAGTGCATCGGCCGATGACACGACTCGTCCCAGAGGGAAAGGCGAGCACCGGAAGTCCGATCTGGTGTGCCCCATCAGCAACTGCGATCGACATCATAATGGGTTCTCCCGAACCTGGAACCTGAATCAGCACCTGAAGACCATGCATCCGGGGTACCAGCCTCCGGTCTCTGCGAGAAAGTCGTCGACCGCCAAGGCTTCTAGGAGGAAGGACAATACTAACGAGGGGTGATTTGCCGGAGGGAATATGTGTATCTAGTGTCATGATAAAGATGTTATCTATCCTCAATGTTACGACTAATTGAGAGAATCTAGCACTGTCTTGAGGTAACAACCAACTGCATTTGTGAAATTGGCACTCCAGAGTCCTAGTCTTATTCTAGCATGCTTGCCGATAGCACACCCACTCAATAACACTATAGTCTTACCACCATACCCGCTCACCAATCCTACAATTGCGCACCAAAATCTTAACACCCACCCAACCCATTCCCACCACAACTAATGAAAGAACCCTCAAGCAAGCCCATTACACCTCCCCCCCTTGTGCCAATTCTCCCCCGTCGAAGTGGTGTAATTCCACCAGAACCCCAAAACCTGCGGCTCGTCGGCGGGGACCGCACACTCCGTCGCAAACCCCGGCAACCCGCCCACGAACTCGGCATACTGTGCCAACGAACACGAATACCCCGGTCCATCCTGGCAGGTGCGCAGGGGCACGACCGCCTCGTTCAACACCAACCGCACGTAGATGCCCGCGGGGCCGAGCGCGCTGCTGCTGCAGTTCAGCCGCTCAATGGTCAGGCGGCCGCCCATGGGGATGATGTCGGTGATGCGCCAGTGTTGCTGGAGGTCGAAGGCGACGCGGTCGGTGGGGAGGGGCTGTGGGGGGGTCGCGATGTCCAGGGCGGCGATTATGGGGGTGATGTTGCTGTCGTGGGCGCTGGGGGTTGGGTTAGTGTGGTATACTAGGGGGCGGGGAAGCTAGGAGGGGAAAGGGGGCAGGCGTACAAGTTGAAGAACAAGGGTCCGGCTGATGAGGGACCCTGCCGGAGAAGGGCGAGCGAGGCGTTGAGGTAATTCGCCCCGACAGCGCGCATGTATTTGTTTCCTGGGCTTTCCCACAGAAAACATCCAGCATTAGTATACTATGATCCAATTCTACTAGTGAAGCCATCCACTCACCCAGCACAATAATAAAAGTTCACGTCCCAGATATACGAGAAACTGACCCATTCGTCGGTCGTGAAGACGTCGATCCATTCGGACTCGCTACGCGTGTTCAGCTCGTACGCTGTCATTGCTGCGCCGCACATTCGTGGGTTAGTCTAGTCCGACTGTGACGCAGTGCTGTACTATGAATGTAGCAAAGGCTCAACTCAGAGAACCAGTCGTACTCACTCATCAGCGTGACAACATCCTCCCAGCTCAAAGTAAGACCCTTGTACTGCGCATTCAATCGCTCCGCCGCAGCGTCGAACTGCGGGAGATGGTACGGATACGCATTGCACTTGTCCCGTGCAGCGCCATCGTCCTGGTGGCACGAGGGCGTCAGGCTGTCCGCGCCGCGACTGCTGGACTCTGAGATGAGGTTCAGGGCCGCGTGGGTCGAGTAGTTCTGCATCCCCACGAAGCCTTCCCCGAACCGCCGGGCCGTGTCGATGATGCGCTGGAACTCTGCCGCGAAGAGCGGGAGGGTCGTTGGCATGCTGCTGCTGCTGCTGTCCCAGAGATGACCATAGCGTGCTCGGTACTGCTGCCCGTGGGTATATGCCTCGGCGAGCCCTGCGTAGGGCCCCGTGAAGGTCTCGGCTTCGTAGCAATCCGACGGCACATAGTAGGTCCAGTTGCCGCGGAGGAAGTCGAGGTCTCCGCTGCTGTTCGAGGCCGCCTGCACGGTGCTGTTGACTTTCTTCAACACTGCCTCAATCGCAGGGCCCTCCCCCGAGGCAGGGTATCGCTCGCCGTGGCGTTTGACCATGATCACTTGGTCGACGACGCATTGCGGCGGCGGGTCGCGGCCGATGCCGTAGGATTTGCGATCGACGTAGGGCCCGCGGATGCCATCGTATTTGAGGAAGTTGTCGCCGTCGAAGACTTGTTGCGAGATGTGGGAGGCCGGGAATGTGGCGGCGGTTGCTGCTGGGATCAGGAGGAGGTAACAGGGGGAAAACATCCCGGGTTTCATGCTGTCACGAGAGCCGTGGATCAAATCTACAATATGAATAGTGCGCAGTGAGATAAAAGGTTTCTGTCAATGGCTGTTCGGTGTTCTGAGAAGGTCTGGCCTCGCATTCACGTGAATCGCATTCCAGACTGATGAGCTCATGCGACCAGCATTGCGGGCGTGAGAAGACAGGTAGGCAGCTGTGACTGGCTAGGAAAGGGATAGGTTTCGCATTGTAACATGGAGAGGGGTTGGTATACTCTGGTGCTCATGCGCAGGAGGCTCAAGACTGTGTTGTGTAGTGTATTCACAGTCCCTGGTTCCTGGACAATGATATCATCCCTTGCACTCCCTGGCTCAAACTCAATGATATCTTGAACCCCCGTCAGCTCTCTTTAGGCTGGTCAACTCGCATCCATAATTCAAGTCACTTATGTCCTATGGAGTAAGCTCATGCAAAACCAAAATTCGCACGTTAGGTTGCACAGGAATAGCCAAGGGAGGCGGGAAAAAAGGTACTGTACATATACCAGAACAAGACACTGATGTAGATTCCCAGCTATCCACATGCACCCACGAGTTCAGCCTGAACAAAAGAGGAAATGAAGTGTATAATCCCAATTAATGTACATACGAACAAATGCAACGAAAACAAAGCGCCTAAACCAACCAGTTGGTCGTATCCCATGATGAATATGCACACGGTTCTTGCCAATATCAACAAGACCCCCGATGCCCTGTGACCCACAACGAATCTCGAATCCCGCCATTTTTGGTTCCTGTTGAGACCCTCATACCATAAATGCAATTGCCCGTGGATCTTTTCCACCGCCGCCGTGTCAGAACCCAGGAAATGCTCGGTTCGAGAAGCCGATCGTCCACCGGGTATTGTCAAGCTTCTGAGTACAGATAACATCGCACGTCCCGCTTATTTGCCTTGGCGTTGCTTGTGCTTGGGGTTCTTCGAGCTGTGGGTTGAAGATACATGTTAGAATCTTTGATATTCAATTTGTATCAGCTATGGCGCTTACCAGATGATGTAGACACGGTTCTTTCTCCGGACAGGCTGCGATTGGAATAGACAGCATTAGCCGCATATCCACAGATCATGAACACTCCCTTTCACAAAAATGCAGTGCAACTGCAGATTTCCGATGTACAAAATCCTCCTCCGCGGGGCTCGGAGTAGTCCTACCTTGCATCCATCACACAGGCGCTTGACCGAAGACCGCGTCTTCATGCCTCGGACCTGCTCGACCTGTCGCAGAGACGCGCTGACCACACCGGTCTGCTTCCCGGAGCGCAGCAGACGAAGACCATTGCCGAAGGGGAGCTTGGCCAATTGCGAGAACGACCGGGACAGGAGACCGGCGGGTTTGCTGCGGGAGAGGGAGGGGAGGATCTGGCGGAGGGCACCGGTCGAGGCACCGAGGAGAGAGCGGACGGACATCATGGTTGTCGAAATGGCGGATTGACAGACGAGTCTGATTCCGCTATATATTCGAATGCGAAACAAAGAGCTGCAGCAGAGAAATCGAGACTTTTCAACCACCAAGGTGCGGCCGTCGATTGATTGTCCGGAATTCCTTCGGAGCATTTTGGCCGGGTCTACTGTATCCCCGGCCTCCGGAAACAGTTGAGTATCCCGCGTTTTGATTGGACACAACCACAGCCAATCAGCGCACACGCATCTACATCGACATGAAAGCCTCAGTCCGTTAAGTTGTTTGTGAATGTACCAGGCGAAACAATTGGACGAACACATCAGATGCAACATTATAGGTAGTATTTCGAATTCTATGTACGGAACAATGCCTAGCACTCTCACACTAAGAAGAAACAGCCCAAGCTCTATCGTCACTATGCCCAACAAGAACGCCCATAAGAATTAACAAGCAGGGAATCAAAAAAACTCTTTAAGCTTTCTCCCAAACGAACGAAAACGACTCAAGAAAGTCGCTGAATATTTAAGCACGAAGGAAAGTTTGGTAGGTGGGAGAGTCGGTGTGCTCGCTGAAGGGGTATCCCAAGTCTCTCAAGAAAGCCTCAAGTTCCTCCTTCTCAGTCTCGGGGCACTGGATGCCAGCAAGCACCTTGCCCACATCTCCGCCGTAGTTGCGGTAGTGGAACAACGAGATGTTCTGGTTGGGGCGAAGAGTGGTCAAGAATTTGGCCAGAGCACCGGGGCGCTCAGGGAACTCGAACATGAACAATCGCTCATTCTGGACGCTGCTGCGTCCACCGACCAGGAAACGAACGTGCCGTTTGACGAGCTCGTCGTCGCTCAAGTCCTTGACACTCATACCCTCCTTGGTGAGGTGAGTCATGATCTTGGCCAAATCGTCTTGGCCCGTCAACGCAGACAAGGAGATACCCATCAGGACGTCGGCAGAGGCATCGTGGGCATACCGGTAGCTGAAGGCAGTGACCGCATGGGGAAGAATAACTTCAACGAGCTTGGCAAATGCGCCCGGCTTCTCGGGTATGTTGACACTCAGAAGGGCCTCCTTCCGCTCACCCAGAGCAGCACGCTCAGCGACGAAACGCAGACGATCAAAGTCCATGTTGGCACCGGAAGTGATAGCACACAACTCCCGGTTAGTGTCAGGGCTGGGATACATGCTAACATACTTCTTAAGGCCAGCCAGAGCCAGAGCACCCGCCGGTTCAATGATGGAGCGGGTGTCCTCGAAGGCATCCTTGATAGCAGCGCATGTCTCGTCGGTCGAAACCTGAATAACTTCATCAATAACTTCACGGGCCAGCCGGTAGTTCTCCTCTCCAACGGACTTGACAGCCGCGCCATCGGCGAACAGACCCACTTCCTTAAGGAACACGCGCGATCCAGAGTCCAAAGACTGATGCATGGCGTTGGCATCGTGGGCCTCGACACCAATGATCTTGACGTGGGGCGCGATGCGCTTGAGATACACTCCAATACCAGCAATCAGGCCTCCTCCACCGACGGCGCAGAAAACAGCTTCAAGTTTCTGCAGGTTGGCCTGGCGCAGGAGTTCCATACCAATGGTTCCTTGGCCAGCAATCACGTAAGGGTCATCGAAGGGAGGAATGTTGGTGAGCCCGTGCTGTTGCTGCAGGCGGTGAGCTTCGTCTTTGGCCGCGTCAAAGTCATTGCCGTGGAGAACGACGCTTCCGCCCAGGCGAGCGACGTTAAGGTGTTTAATCGCGGGGGTGCCCGAAGGCATGACAATGGTGGCGGGGATCTTGAGATGGCGGGCAGAGTAGGCAACTCCCTGCGCATGGTTTCCTGCACCAATTTTCCATTAACTCAAATGCTCCAAATATTACCTGTCAAAGTAGGGGGGCTGCTCACCGGCAGAGCATGCAATGACACCCTTCCACCGTTGCTCGTGAGTCAAGTGAGCCATCTTGTTGTAGGCCCCGCGCAACTTGAAACTGAAAACAGGAAGCAGGTCCTCCCGCTTGAGCAGCACACGGCACTCCAGGCGGTTGCTGAGGTTGACGGCATGATGGAGAGGGGTTTCGTCGATAATGTCGTAGACCCGGGACGTTAAGATCAACCGGAGGTACTGTAGATAACAATCGCATGAGCAACACGCCGGATGAGAAGAAAGCCAGGACCACAGGGCACTTACATCTGGGTAGCCATTCGGAAGAAGATAGTCGTCGGGGATGCCCCAGTTGTAGGCAGTCGAGTCCTCCCCTTTTTCCGAGGTGGGAGTTGCAAGCGCGGACTCGGTCAAGGTGAGGTTACTGACCTTGGCAGAGACCGGAGTCGCAACGCCGTCGTCAGATACTTCGCTGGGCATATTCAAGTCTGCTGTATGGATAAAATGCAGGGAATGAACGTCTGGGGGATAAAAAGAGTATAAGAACGAAGCGCCAGCACCAAGTGGGAGTCGAGACCGAGAAAAAAAGCCGCGGTGGCACTGACTAACTATGGTGGATAAGTCTCCCTTGCTATTCCGCGGGGAGGAGGGCGAAAATTCCGTGATCGGAGCGGAAAAGTTTATGTCATCAAACCCTCTCTTCCAGCCCTAAACAATAGGATGTATTCATCTACCTCGAGAGAAAAGAAATTTGATGCTTATTTATCGCCTGAGTATTGCTTCCTTGAACCAAGCAATGAGCTTGTTTACTCCTCGCTTTTTGAGTTCTGTTCCATTTACCATACAGTTCTCCTTGCGGCAATAGGTGATTCATTCTGATCTACATAGTATGTGCTCGGGCAGTTGCCCCCCCTCCCCCCCAATACAAAGCCATGGATGGCCGGTGGATCCCAATCGATCGCAAGCATAACAGTCAAAATCGAGTAAAGTGGCCAATCATCTTGTGCTCCTACAACCAGGACAGTCAAGGTTTTACTTGACTAATCAACGGACAGCTGCTTTTTCTCCTGCGCCCTACTGGCGCCCTACTGATAACAGCAATTTACTCAGTGCATTGCTCAAGATAGCCGTTGCACGACGTTCTTAGTAACGAAGAATATGTGGTGAGCTCAGATCGTAACAGGCTGATGCCAATTTTTAACTATGTTTTCTGCTATGTCTTGTCATTGCTTCTTGAATAGGTAATTATTTCATCTCTGACATTACTAGTAGATTTTTTGAGGATTCAGTGAAGTCGAGTTATCTGGCACCACAAGATGTACAGATCATAATTATGCATAATAGTCCCGAACAATCAAGGCGTAAGTGAGCTTACTGTAACCTTACGAGATACCGTTGTACTACCGCGTAAGTTACAATACACAAATTATCTCAAGGTTCGTTGCGACGTCATGTCACTTTTGGCATTGTTCGTCCATATCTCATTTATCTGCGCGATATCGTCAGAGAGGCAAAAGTGACGCGAAGAGTCACAATTTCATCCTCAGGCCGACCCTATTCCCTTGTTACTGGAAGATAGTCCTCCCGGACGGTGCCGCCTTAACTCAGTCACCCCTCTTGCGCTCTCCCACGCAGATCGCCACCTTCAATCAGCTCCCACTTTTTGAGTCCTACTATCAAGATGAGCGAGCCACTACCTTCCTCTTTCGATGACAACCCGTATGTATATAGGATAAGACACCTACAGCAGCGGCCGTCAATCAGATGCTAACGGCCTTCGCGTCTGTAGTCAGTTCCAAGAAGAGACTTCGCTGCAGAAGTTCCGCAGGCGGCTCAAGCAAGAGCCGCTGATTCCGCTCGGTACGACACTCTCCCTCGCACCTACCTTTCCTCTCCAATACCTCTTTTGGATTTGTACTGACGGGACGGTTTGATTGCAGGATGTGCGGCTACCTGCTACGCCCTCTACCGGGCCTACCGATCCATGAAGGCGGGCGATTCGCTTGAGATGAACAAAATGTTCCGTGCCCGTATCTACGCCCAGTTCTTCACCCTGATCGCAGTGGTTGCGGGAGGCATGTACTACAAGACCGAGCGGCAGCAACGCAAGGAATTCGAGCAGGTTGTGGAGGCACGCAAGAGTCAGGAGAAGCGGGATGCTTGGTTGCGGGAACTGGAGATCCGAGACCAGGAGGACAAGGATTGGCGGGAGCGCCATGCCGCCATCGAGGCTGCCGCCAAGGATGCGGGCAAGAGAAAGGCGACTGCCGAGCAGGACGCTGCTCGTTCGGCCCTCGAGCCCTCCGAGGAGAAGCCCATCGGGGTTCTGAGTGCTGTTATGGAGCTCTTGTCGCGGCAGAAGTAAAATAAATCGACAAAGGGGGAACGTTTTCTGATTGATTTTCGCCGAAGTGTCTGGGTATCATATCTCATTGTACATACATATATTCTCACTGTTTTGAAGGAAAATGCACACTCTCCGCTAGCTACTCTTCCCTATCTTACTTGCATTACATGTCGGTTGGCCAGCTCAACCGGCAATCTGCTCGTCAATGTATCTCCTCATTGTTTCGAACTCCGCTTTGCCAGTCTGGATACTATTAGCAACAATAATGCAGTCAACTCTGATCATGATGACTTACTGAAAGCAGGTATCGAATATGTTGCTGTCGTCCGTCAGTAGCGCATTCAGGCTGCATATGTGCTCAGCACTTACCAGGTCTGTCACATCTCGATGGCGCTCAAACTCGTTGCGAGCATAATTGCGCAGCTCCTCGCGAGTTGGTGAATTGGGGATTGCTTCCACAATATTAGCACAAGACACCACCACATCGCATACGGCAGAATGAGAACATCAGACGAACAATTCAAGGCTCTGACTATCTCGCGCCAAAAGGCAAGAACCCGCTGTCTTTGAATGAACTAATACGAGATATTAGCGGACTGAATTTCCATCACCATGTTAATGGATCTACTGACATGATCAAGGCCAATAGTCGGTTTTTTAAGCTTGGAAGGCTGGTTCTGCGAAATAGATGCCAGAAGTCGTAATGTAGTCCGCATTGTTGCTAGGGACTATGCGATTATTCTTTGTACCGGTAGGGTCACCCAGCAAACCTAGTATGTCTCGATGCGACCACGACAATATGTTATCATCCGCAGGTTATCCTGCGGTAGAGTGGCGGAAGGCAAGGCGGTCAACAAGCTCGTGTGTATTCGTATGAAATGTTACCAGACACTCGGTATTTCTGATACATTCTTTTCCCTCCGTGATTGTATTATTGTTTTACCAAACTAGAAAACAACAGAGTGCCTTCTACTTGGCCTAGGTTCTCTCTTGTTGGCCACAGAGATTCTTCCCATTTGACTTGAATAGTATGCTGTTTATCTATAGAGGTCGAAAAACTAAGGTGATTTCTGTACATGTGAGTCTGTCAGTATCACATTCTTCCAGATTGACAAACTTCAGACCCTGAGGCCCGGTCCGAGCTCGGAGTATGTGTTTGTTGTGGTCGATTATACTAATGTAGAGAATACGATTGGCAAGTATGACTCCAACATAATCGGATCAAGCACCGGAAGTAGTTACCCGTGACCGGCTTATCGATAAGAAGCACAATGCATTGGGAAGTCAATGGTCGAGTCCACGGTGAATACTCCGTAGTGCTAACTACTCCGTAGACTCCAGCAGTCCAGGTCAACAACGGGCGAGGATCAGCCGATGGGGATCACGTGACCGTGTGCCTGGCTTCCCCGAACTTTTTTTCGGGGCCGCAGAAAAGAAATCAGGTCGCGGTTCCCGGCTGTCCCAAAAGAGCACCAGCGCTCGTTCAACGTTCTCGGTGTCGTCGGTCGCAGTCATGAGGTGTCCTACTCTCTCACGGTTGCCATACCGTGCTGTCTCTGGCTTGGCCAGAACTCCTGTTCGCCTTCAGTCTCAGACCCTTCTTTCGCGGAGATGCGCATCCACCGCTGTTCTCCGTTCAGCCACTGTTGCTCCGGCTTATCAGTCCGTCCTCAGCAAACAGAACCAGCAAAGGAGGAATGCCTCCGCCACTGCCAATGCTGTGTGAGTATCTCCTGGCTCTGCTTGCCTATCCTTCTGTCAGTCTACTATATCTCCTAAAACACGCTTACTGACTCGTGTATTGCATCGTTCTAGCCTCGAGGCCGCCGCTGCCACCCCCGATGCTCTGTCGCAGGAAGCTATCATTGAGAATCTCGACCCTGTTGAAGCCGCACGCCTGGATAAAGTCCGCAACATCGGTATCGCTGTAAGGAATCCACTTACGCTCTCTGGCTCGGTTGTCTACATTTGCCTAACATACTTTCTCGAATCATTAGGCACACATCGACAGTGGTAAGACGACATGTACCGAGCGAGTCCTTTTCTACACTGGCCGTATCAAGGCCATCCACGAGGTCCGTGGTCGTGACAGTGTAGGCGCGAAGATGGACTCCATGGACTTGGAGCGTGAGAAGGGTATCACCATTCAGTCTGCTGCCACGTACTGTGACTGGGTGAAGAAGGACAAGGAGGGCCAGGAGCAGAAGTACCACCTCAACTTGATCGATACCCCGGGTCACATTGATTTCACCATTGAAGTCGAAAGAGCGCTGCGTGTTCTCGATGGTGCGGTCATGATTCTGTGCGCTGTCTCCGGTGTTCAGTCCCAGACCATCACTGTCGATCGTCAAATGAGACGTTACAACGTCCCCAGAATCTCCTTCGTGAATAAGATGGATCGGATGGGTGCCAACCCCTTCAAGGCCGTTGATCAGATCAACACCAAGCTCAAGATCCCTGCTGCTGCTGTCCAGGTGCCGATTGGTGCTGAGGACGAATTCGAGGGTGTGGTCGACCTCCTTCAAATGAAGGCTATTTACAACCACGGCCCCAACGGTGAAGAACTTGTGGTCAAGGACGAGATCCCAGCGAAGGTCAAGGATGTCGTGGAGGAGCGGAAGCGCATGCTTATTGAGACTCTCGCTGACGTGGACGACGAGATCGCGGAACTCTTCCTCAGCGAGATCGAGCCCACCGAGGATCAACTGAGACAGGCTATCCGCCGCGCGACCATCGGTCTCAAGTTCACCCCTGTCTTCATGGGTTCGGCTCTTGCCAACAAGTCTGTGCAACCCATGCTTGATGGTGTCATCGATTATCTCCCCAACCCTTCCGAAGTTCAAAACCTCGCTCTCGATAAGAAGCGTGACGAGGCTTCGGTCAAGCTCATTCCTTACAACTCACTGCCATTTGTCGGTCTCGCTTTCAAGCTGGAAGAGAGCAATTTCGGACAGTTGACCTACATTCGTGTTTACCAAGGCACCCTGCGCAAGAGTGCTAACGTCTTCAACGCACGCACGGACAAGAAGGTCAAGATTCCTCGCATTGTGCGCATGCACTCCAATGAGATGGAGGATGTTAGTGAGGTCGGAGCGGGTGAAATTTGCGCTGTGTTCGGTGTCGACTGTGCTTCTGGTGATACTTTCACTGATGGCCAGCTGGGTTACACCATGTCGTCTATGTTCGTTCCTGAGCCCGTTATCTCTCTTTCCATCAAGCCCAAGAACGCCAAGGATGGCGCCAACTTCTCCAAGGCAATGGCTCGTTTCCAGAGAGAGGATCCTACCTTCCGTGTGCACTTCGATAACGAGAGTGAACAGACGATCATCTCCGGTATGGGTGAATTGCACTTGGACATCTACGTTGAGCGCATGCGCCGTGAGTACCGGGTAGACTGTGAGACCGGTCCTCCTCAAGTCGCGTACCGTGAAACCATCGGCCACCGCATTGAATTCGATCATCTGCTCAGGAAGCAGACCGGTGGTCCTGGTGACTTCGCCCGCGTTGTGGGTTGGATGGAGCCTACTGGCAGTCTGTCGGAGAATGTTTTCGAGGAACAGATTGTTGGTGGCAGTATCTCGGAGAAGTTCGTGTTCGCCTGTGAAAAGGGATTCCACATGGCTTGTGACAAGGGTCCTCTCATTGGACACAAGGTCCTGGGTACCAAGATGGTCATCAACGATGGTGCTACTCACATGACCGATTCCTCTGAAATGTCTTTCAAGAACGCAACCCAGCAGGCGTTCCGCAAGGCCTTCAAGGAAGCCAACCCCTCTATCCTCGAGCCTATGATGAAGACTGTTGTCACTGCTCCTTCTGAGTTCCAGGGTGATGTTATTTCTCTCTTGAACAAGCGTGGCGCTACCATCAATGACTCCGAAGTTGGTGTCGATGAGTTCACCGTTCAAGCCGACTGCAGCTTGAACGGTATGTTCGGCTTCAGTAGCAACCTCCGTGCCGCCACCCAGGGTAAGGGTGAGTACACCATGGAGTTCAGCCACTACGAGAAGGCTCCTGGTCACCTTCAGTAAGTATCCCCCAAAACCCATAGACGTTGCACGTTGCAAGTGAAGGCATCAAGGGTGCTAATCTCCATTCTCAACCTTTCCAGGAAAGAGCTCATTGCCAAGTATCTGAAGGCCCAGGCCGACAGACACAAGAAATAAGCGACGGGAATCGCTTTCCGACCGCGTTAACTCGAATGCAGGGGGCAGCCCTCTCATGCATCGCGCGAGTCTCAGGCCATACTGGCTCGATCCCACCTCTCACATAATCACCTACGAGGGCTTCGGAGACGAATGAACTACACTCCGGCTCCTCTTTCTCCTGTATAACTGACTCCTTCCCAAAACCGGTCCGGCGTGTTCTTGAATATGAAAATGATGTGTTCCTTTTTTTCGTTACCTCTGTCCAAATACCTCGGGCTCATGTATCATTTACCAAGCAAAATAGATAACCCTTCTGCGCATTTAGACCAGAGGCCCCTCTCAAGGCTGTTGTGTGGGCATGCAAAGCCCCGAGCTCAGAGGCATGGATGCATTTAACACAGATTGTACATAAAGTTTTTGATAGTTGGGTTTCGATATATCTCCTCTCCTGAACGAATGAAGTTCGAAGACATACAAGTGCTCTAGACATAGATAAGTATTTTGTTTGAAAAACAGGCACCTGGCTAATACATGGCGAGTTTTGGCATATGCCAAATCCATCCAGGTCTATATCTATCTCGGGTCAGATATGCCGCCCCTCAAGCTCATATCTCAGAACTAACACCTGGCTATGGCTTCAACCCGGTAACTCTACCTCTTCTGCGAGATTCGATCGTGCCCTCATCCAAAGGACGGGATATTGCGGGTCTTTTTACGTTCACGGTGGGAGATTCACTGCGAATCCAGGTGGCGATCTCCTTGTGATTTGGTGCAGCTAAATCCAACTAAAACTATGCTTCAGCCATCGAAGGCTCGCAGCACAGCCAAGGCGGCAACCGAGAACGTTGCTACGCGATTATGGCCTGGGAGACAGCGTGAATAACCGAGTATACACTCCTCCAATTCGAACCGGGGACGGCAGTGTCACTTACCTCCATACGCCACACGTTCCCATCGAACCCTCTTGACCACAGCAGAGTCCGTGGCCGAACTGCTCTCCCAGATCTGGACTTCATTAGGTCCGCCAGCGGAGTCCCTTGTCGACACCACAATCTTCCCGGGGCTGTTCTCGACCGCTTCTCCCGTGGCCGCGGCCCAGACGCGCCGGCCTTCTTGCCAGGGAATCTCGACATCGTTGGCTGCATGCACGATGAACAGGTTCAACCCCTGCTCGACATACGCTGGGGCCGGATGGTGGTCTTTGCCGGTGGTGGTGGTGGTGGTGGTGCTGTTGTTGTTGCTGACGCCCGACAACCGCGCAACCCGGGCAGCCGTGTCCCAGCGGTCGACAATCTGGCGCTTGGCGTAGTCTTTGATGCCGGGGTAGGCGGAGAGGGGCGCGAGCATGGGCGGGGTGATGCCCTTCACGCTGTAGGAGTCGACGAGGCTCGGGACGTTGCTGAAGGAGGCTAGGAGGATCACGCCGGCGAAGGGCTCCGGGTTCGTGAGGGCGGGCTGGAGAGCCGTTGGGTCGGAGGACCCGAATGCGAAGCGTTCGGCCACGGCGGCGGTCACAGCGGTCCCCAGGCTCTGGCCCATGATGATGATGCGCGACGGCGGGATTCTCA